CGGCAGCCTCCTCTCCAGTGCTGCCACTAATCTACCCAAGTACATGTGGTGCAGTGACGGGTGGGGAATTGAATGACACATGTCTTGCTATGTCCCGGCCACTCTCAGAGGACAGCACACGAGTGTGCCGGCAAGTGGGCAACACTTCCCCTGAGACAGCCTGCCCGATCAAAATAAACTTGAGTTATGGATTTATTCAGCTTGTAATACCTCAGCTGGCATAAATAATTGAGAAAGCAAAGGTTTGTCTGTGGTGCATACCTCAGGGACCCACTCCTGTCTTCCTCCCTCCCACCACCCTTTCTTATGAAAATGATCCCAGTTGCACTGATAGATAATAACAACACCAAGCAATTAAAAGCTATGGGTGGCTGGAGAGAGGAGAAAAGGTTCAGTTAATGAGCTTTTCCTCTTCCTGTGCCCAGGAGAGCCTCAGAAGTGAGGAGGTGATTAAAGCGAGGAGATAATTATAGATTATGTGAAAATGGGTCCCTTGGGGGCCAAGGGCCTTGACAAAACCAGTAAGTGTTGCAAGTGTCTCTCTTGCTCCCCGCACGCTGTGTTCCACTCCACCGCGCTCCCACTTGCTCAGCAGCGCCGTGCCAAGCAGACGGGAGAAGCCACCTGTTAGTGGCACCCAGGGCCACTCCACAGCAGGTCCACTGGGATGTGGCTTGGACCAGCCCCAGGAAAAGGGGAGAGGATGCCCAAAGTAGCACCTGATCACAGCCCTCTGTGCTGGAGGTAACCTGCAAGGGGGGAGGAAGGGGACGGGGCAAACCTGAAGGATACTGTCTGTGTGAGGGTAGAATACCTGAATTTCAAGTCTCTTCTGTGCCATTTTTCGTGGTAGTCTTGGTGGCTGTTTAGAAGGCAAGGAGGTTTACAGCACTCCAGGTGAGGAAGTGAAGCCTGGTTAACCAGCAACAGATCTTTTCCATGAGCTGTTTAGAAACTGTTGGCTCACCATGTGTTTTCAGACAGCTTATGAAGAAGGCTTAAGCCTAACAAGCTTGGGAGAAGGTGGCTTGCTTTAAATTCTTCCACAAACTTTTATTCAAGGATGGAGAAAGTTGCCTATGTATTGCCTGCAGACAACAGATAAGCTTCCGCTCAATGTTAAATCAGCATCTCTTACTGGGGATGAGGGAGAGCAGAAAAAAATAGCTTGGGGCATTGAACACGTGTCAGCAGGGAGGAGAGAAACCCTTCCGGCCATCCTCAGGAAATGTAAACATACTCACTGCCTTTACTGACAGTCAAGTGGTTTTGACTCCTTTTAAGCTCAATAAAAAGAGCCAGTGCTTGTATATCACACAATCTGACATGGAAACAAAATTGCATCCAAATCTTTCTTTTAGCTACAAGATTTAAATAATTGTGCACATCTCCATTAGGCTGAATTTCATGGTCTTTTCTGTCCGAAGATAACTTGAATGCCATATTCTTGCATAAATTGAGATTTTTCTGACAATACTAATAGAAATGCTATGGGTTTGTCCCCTACCTACCCCAGCCCCCCAACATTATTTGAGGAACGTCTTCAGAGTGTCACTTACTTCTGATTTCTGATGTGCTTCTATCTAGTTTTAGGCTGTTTCTACCAGTTTCTGGGCCTTGATGCTGACAATATCTGGAGTGCAGCTTCACATTACTGTTTTGTTTGCAGGTAAAATGTGTGTGGTCTGACTGCATGGACTTCTCAAACCTGTTCAGGAAAGGGCTTATTTCTCTTTGTTAATATTTACAAAAAAGTTAGAGATAATATATGCTATTTTTGTTTTAAAGGGGGCATCAGGTACAGAGGTATGGTTTAAAGCTTAAGTACTAAATGCAGATTAAAAAGATTAAATTTCCCAAAACCTTATTTTCAGATGGGGAAATTGCTATTCTGGATTAATTCCTTTCTGGAGACTTCTAAAAGAAAAGTGTTTTTTGGTAGGGGGATATACAGAGCATTTGCAGAGGTAGTTATTTCAGAAAAGCTAAATGATATCCAAATAGCTGTGTCAGGTCATTTCCCCCTTACAGACAGTAATAACCTTGGGAAAGGACTGTAGAAGTCTTGTCTAGAGCCTCTGGTAGGAAGATAACCTGGGTTTAGTACATCAGTGTTACTGTGCCGTCTCCACTGGCACAGACCCTGCAGCACACTCCCTGTGGAGCACAGTCAGTTGCTTTATCACTGCCACGTACTTTCTGGTACCTCTGGTGCTGCTGTGTGAGGTCTGGCAGGGCTGAGCCACCCAGGCTCTGTAGCATGTGGAAATGCCAGTGCCCAGGCTGACTGGGTGGCATCACTGCTAAGGATGCTAGGCTCACAGCCTGAGCTCATGGTTGTGATGGAGAAAATCATCTGGGAGTAACTGAGGATGGTCGTGGATTTCTCTAGCAGGAAGAGACTGGGCTTCACTTTGTTACAGAAGAAAGAATGATCTTTAATAAAGTGTATGTGTGGCTCTGTGTAATGGGGGAAAAAACTGCTGGAACCAAATTACTGTAACAGTGTCATCTGAAAAGCAGCTTCACCCAAAAGGCTGCTTTCAGCTGCCAAGGGTGTGTTTGAGAGGCTTGACTAACAAGGTAGGACTGGAGGGACTTCCCAGCATATCAAATCAGCCCTTGTTAGTAGGGGCAGGTATGTCTCATGACCTCCATCATGAATCTGTCAAGCTCCATCTTGAGCAATATAAGCTTTTGCCTTTTCTAATCCCACCATGAGATTCTTTTTTCCCTAGAATTCAAAGTAATTGCATCTAAAGCGTGCAGTGATCTGTTTTCCAGGAGCTTGCGTATAGTGAATAGACAAGCCCTCCAACAAATGAGTTCATGGGAGACTGGTTAAGAAACTTGAAGAGTTCTGTAGTGTTTCTAGGCCTAAACATGAAATCTTGTGGGACACCTAGCTCTTGCTTTTTTCCAACTGCCATGGAACACTGTATCTCCAGTCACTCTTACAAAGCTCTTTTGTGATTTTTAAGAATCTCTGAAAGATCTTAGAGGTTCTGTTTAGTTTGTTTGGACAGAAGTTTTACCATGTCTGAAGCCAGGGTATTGCTTTTACCTCTAGAAGAAGCTATAGGGGTAACTCAAGCACCTGTGTCATCACAACTTGATCTTTCTACCTGCAAGCCAGCCTAAGCAAGCATGCACTGGCATCCTGGCACAGACATGCGCTGCCTGCTGCTCTGAGCAGAGGTCATGGTCAAGCTTTCTCTTAACACTGTCAATGCAAAAAGGAGTGTAATTGGGTCACTTGAAGGCTGGTAAATAAAAAAAAATAAAACCCAAGCCTTGTGGTCAGATTCCAAGACAAACATCAAGGATTTAACAAATCTCTTGACAATTACTTACCAAAGAGTACCTGGTAATAGCAGGCACCTGTTTTAAAGCCACCAGAAGAAAGTACTTGCCCACTGTTCACCCCTTCACATACAGAAAGACAAGTAGTAGAGCTTATCTTTTAGAGAAACCAAGAGTTTGAATGGGTTAAAGAGCAGAACAGAGTGGAAAAAGGACTTAGGAAAGGCTGATAAATATGCTTACCTAGATGCAGCCTCTAGCTACAGAAATCCTTAGGTCTCTGAGTTTCCAAATCTGGGCGGATCCAACACTGGGGACAGATTGCTTTGCATGTGTCCTGTTCCTTCTGCTTTTTTTTCTCTCCAAACTACCCTTAGTGGCCACTGTCTGAGATGGATGGCATTGGAAGGGTCTTTGGTCTGACCCAGAGTGGGTGCTACAAGTTTGTATAGCAGTTGTCTTCTGTGGGATTGCAGTGATTTATACCAGGGTTTGAATGTGGGTTTTGCTAGCTAACTTTATGGATTTCTTGTGCCAGTTCACAGGAGTAGGTTGACTTTTGTCCTGGCATAATACCGTTAAAAACAAACTGTGTTTTCTAGGAAGCAGAATCCTGTCTTAACTTGGAAAAACCCCTATATTATTCTGCATATGCACTAGTAGGTGTCTGTTTCAGTCCAGTGATTGTATTGAAATGTCATAGATCATATGATGTACATGTGACATTTGTGTTGTGCAGTAACACAGTGCTTCTTTCGCTTTTGTTTCCTGACTAGGGAAGAGGACAAGAACATTTTTGATTACTGCAGAGAAAACAACATTGACTATGTAACCAAAGCCATTCGATCGAAAAACGTGGATGTGAATGTTACAGATGAAGAGGTATGGAGAGAAAAGATAAAGACTATCAATCTGTTAACTATTTTGTGTGTTAATTCAGTGCCACTCCTTTACAAAATTCTCTGGTTCACATTGTTCTAACAAGATACTACGGCAGCTGTACAAATACTTCGTCATTGAGACAGGGATAATCTATTTGATAGCTTTCAATTGTGTTTCTAGTAGTGTGGATGTTTGAATTGATGCTGTAGCATATCAGAAACTTACTTTCTATATTATTTTCAGCAACGCCAGCAGCCACTTGCAGAATAACATCTGCTGAATACCTCCCTTTTCTCACCTTGTATATTAAATTAAATAGAAGTAGGATGTGAGGCAAATAGATTTTTTGACTGATGAACTATTCACAGGTGAAGTAGGATTTCTGCCATGCCATCAGCATTTCATTGTTTCCAAGATGGAGGACAAATGAGTGACACTGGCTTTCCAACTTCACAAAAACAATAACATTGTCCAGACTTTCTCTGCTCATCAAGCTCAAAACACTGTTTCCCCATATGGCGGTAATGCAGACATTGTCAGAAACATCAAGAAAATGATAAGGGTCTAAAACTGTGAATTAGCTTGATCCTTTTCTTGGTGAAACTAAACACCTGGTGTGGACAGTTTACATCCTTCCGAAAATGTAGTGGTACCAGCTTTATCATCTTGGTTTTGATGCTTGCATACTGCCACCTAGCCCTGCTTGTGTTCCATACTGCTTTTGCCTACTGCTTTCCAACACACTGTGTGCTGGTGAACAGATGAAATGCTTACACATTCATAGACTGAGACGCCACAAATTCAGTTGGGTTCTACAGTAGCTCTAAGCAGATTTCTGCCCTCTGAGCCATGACAGCCCCGGCTGGGGCTCTGAATGCTGATGGCAGGGCCTTTTATTATTAATCAGGAATTCATGTGAATTAATTTTCAGAGGAGAGGAGAGATGGTGTTTATGATCAGGGTTGGAATTTCGCATCATAAATTCAATGAACTGAAACTGTCATGTCCCACACAGTCGCTGCAACAGCGCCATTACTGAGCTCCATCCCTCCTTCTGCCGATCACAGATTGCGGAAGTAAATGTCCAGGGCAGTTCCACAGAACATGACTGAAGCTCTTTCATTAATAAAAGCTCATTTTTGGAGATCACACACTTGCAATAACTGTATAATAACGTGTTAGCGCCGCTTCATTTCCACTGGCAAGATGCTCTTTTGTAGTTATCAGTGTTCAGAAGCTCATACCTTCCTTTGTGTTTAAGCAGTACATGTGCTTGTTTTCAGACAAAATATTTATTTAAAAAAAAAAAATGTTGAAAGACAAAATATTTTTGTGTCCTAACAACATAAATGTTTAGAGTCAGATCTGAAATCAGCCAGGTGATGTCCTTTTTTTGGGATTCTCCACAAGTGTCTGATATGAGAGGAGACCTACTTCTGAACTAATGGGTATTATTAGCACATGGCTATTGCAGAGTATGCAATTGCTTCAGCAACATAGGAGCTGAAAACCCTGCCTACCTGTGAAGGACTCATGCAAAGGCTCCTACTGGTGCAAAATTCCCCCTTAGATGAAATTCTCACAGCCCCAGTGATTTTTGGCTTACCCCAGCAAATGCTTAAACAGGGAAGTAAGAAATTTTATTTTTTTTTTTTTTAAATACAAACATAGTCTTCATAATCTGGAGGGTAGGTTATTTTCCAACATCGTGCAGGTTGATTGGAGTTTTAGAACCCAATTTAGACTAGAGATAACCCAGATGAAGCCTTTGGTAGAGTGAAGTGTATGCAAGCATAATCTTGTAATTTTTATTAACTATTTTAGTGTTACTATATAAATGCATCCTGCCATATCCAAAGATTCCTCTCCTAGCCCTCTGACCGTAACTCATGCTGTCAATCCTTTGATTTAATTGCATATAAATTTAAAATGGCAGCAGGGATAGATACATACAAGAGTTAACTTGTCATGAAACAAAATCTACTGAAGCACCACACAGTCTGGTGCTAAACTGCAGAGGCACTAGTTTCATCCTTTGCTTGTACAATAAAGACTTGACTGAGGTTATAAGGTGTTTAGATTTTATTTCTTTGTGGTGCATTGGTACTGTACCTAATTGTATCCCCTCATTTGTGCAAACAAGTTAGTGAAAGGAGAAAAGAAATCAAGAATCAAAACGTAAACCAGGGACAAGCCAACTTACTCGAAGAAAAAGGTTTTCAGAGAGGGCAACAGAAACCTCTGGGGTTTAGATAGATGGCAACTTTAAAGCATAAGTGGTCTTCTCCCCACAAGAAATAAAAGATCTTTATGTGGAGCATTTAAGCCAGCATACCTGCTAACAGTTTGGGTATAATAATCTTCAACTTAGAATTAAACAAAGAATCTAATGACAGTAATCGTGTACAAGCTTCCATGTACTGTATCTAAATTGCCCGGAGTTCAACAGAATAGCTTGCATTCGCTTAGAAGTAGCACAGACTAAAACAACCCGTTTCTCTTACGTATGTCAGCAGGACTAATGAAATAAGAAATGGACTTTGGCTGTGAAGTTGCCACAGGCACATCCTGGTAGTATGGATTGCTTGCTGCCTTTTTGAGAACAATATTTCTTCAACTTACAATAAACCAGAAACTGCTGAAAGGCATGGATGAGTTGCTTTTGCAATTTGTGCCAAGGACTGTGGAAGTTCTAGATAAAGAATTTATTTTTAATTGTTGGAGAAATCCCAGTAAACAAACATGTTACCTGTGTACAATATTTAAGCCATTGCCAAAACTTTAATGAAAGGCATCTGAAATGATGCTTGCTTAGTCCCCGGTCCTTGTGCTCCTGAGACAGCAAATGCCAAATTTGGTGCCAGCTTGCCAAGGAAAGGACAGGGTGGAAAAAAATGGATTTGAAGAAGGATCACGTAGTTCTGGATTTATAGGCTTACTCCCATTAGAAAAACTTCCCCAAATGTTTCAGAGGCCTGAAAGCAATTGACTTCGAAATCAAATCTGAAGTTTACCTCTATAATTGCAACAACAGCCCTTCTGTTCACTGTTTTTCCTATCAGGGTGAGATGCAGCCGTTCTATATGTATCTCTTCTTAATTACCAGTAATAACACACTTGCCACAAGTTAGAATGGCTCTCATTGCCATACAGCCATTACAGCTGCAAACATTGTGCCTAGAATTATTGCTTAATATTGTAGCACATCATTCAGTTTAGCTTTGTTCTCCTCTTTCTCTGCGCTGGCTAATTGATGTGAAAATCATTCCCACCCGTTTGTCTGCTGAGACTCAGTATATCGGAGACAAATCCCTGTCCTGTGCTTTGTTTGTGAACACCCTGTGACTTGAAGCTGAGCAAAATTGATGTGCTATTGGCTTGAGAAACTGCTGCAGAAGCTGGCCAAGCTGGCAGCAGTTATCCAAGCAAAGCACAGAAGATTTAAGAGGCAGGGTTAGTGCAGTGGGGCTATTTTTATGCCTTTTTTATTAAACACTTCAAAGGCAGGGGGAAATGCATCCTCTCAAGTAACTTCTGCAACAATTGTGTTTGATTTGCATGGCAGGAGTACCTTGATGTTGACTGCATTTAGTCAAGACCTCACTACTGCAGTGCTTTCCTATATGAAATTATTCATGTTGCTTTGAGTCTCACTGCTTAATGAAATGGTCATACGGGAAGTGTTTTGGGAAAGCTTAATATGTGGCTTTTAAGACTTCTGCCATGTTATTTAAAAACACAAACATGAGTTATATGCTGATATAAAGCAGCAGTTGTGCAGACTAAAGAATTTTTCAATGTGCATGGGCGATATCCATACTATACAAAGAGTTGGATTACACATTCAGTTTAAGTTTGTCTTGCTGCTAAAGGTAGGACATGGAAGGAAGACATGGGAAACAAGTGGGCTTTGTAGCTGTATAGCTGCTTTAAGTACATTGGCTAGAACACCCGAGCATTTTAATTTGCCTGTTACTATATGAACAGTAGTGAATATTATATACAAGTCTCTTAATAATGCTTTTTGTTATACAGTACATATTTTTACTTATGCATCAGGTGGTTTGCTCTTGCAGAGGAGATCTCCAAAGTCCCTTACACCCTGTGTTTAGGGCATAGCATGCTGCAAGGATGCAGCCATTTCTTGGGTGGAACGTGTCATTTTTTTAAATAGTGCACAATTACAATGCAGAGCCATTTAAGGCACTAATTGGAAAATATTGTATCCATTTAGAATTACAGAGAAAATATATAGGTAAGCAGTGTGTAATTACCCAAAGTGGAATTGGCCCAAGACTTGAAATCCATACTCCTGCAAATAGCACAAGGAGATTTTTAATGACTATAGATGATCAGGCTTCAGTTTCTTGTCTTGTTCAAAGGGAACATTTGCAGCAGGACCAGCCTCCAGTGTCATGTGAAGGAACCAGTTGCACGGTGCTGCAGTACCCCTGAGCTGGCAGCGTTGGCAGCACTGTCTCTCATGAACTGTTGGTTTACATTTATTGGTCTCAGCCAAGTTCAGCACCGATAAAATAAGATTCTGCTTATCCAGAGACAAATGCAAACCAAGTCATTATAGCCACTAATCTGTAACATGAATTTTGCTATAAAGGATAGAAATGTCTATTGTGAATTGCACAGTAATTACACATGTGTAATTACAGTATTATTACTCTACGTACACATAAAGAAACTGAAATAATCTGTTGAAGTGTTTATTGCTATTGTGCCTGTTGCAGATAGTGCTTCTTTCTTTTGAAATAAACATCTGTGGCACAAAAATGTTGGTATTTATCCAACTGAAATCCTAAGTAATTACCAGTCAGAGATGAGTTAAGGATGCTTAACATGAATTAAAGATCTTTCCATGTTTACCAATTGTTTTAAATTTTATTCTTTCCTTCTTTTAGACTTTGATAGTGGTGTTGAGCGCAAGAATATTAATCATTAAATGGCATATGGATGTTATCAGTGCTTCCATAGAAAGTCATTGTCCAAATATTCATTCTAATTCAAGGTTAATTAGTGTAACATTAAAATTATGTGTTACAAAAATTAATTACTTGCTGGGTCAAAAAGCATGCATTTCCTGACTTAAAAACATGTTCTACCTCTGCTGCCCTGCCCAAGAAGAAGCAGCATCCAGCAGAAGCAGCATGAGCTTTGGTTACAAGTGTCTTTGCCCTTCCTGCTGTTTTGGCACTGTGGTCGGAAAATTGTCTCACAGTTCTCATTAGTAGATGAATTAGTTGCTCACTTTGTTCCCAGCTGCTCTGTCATGAGATGTATAACCAGGCGTGGGCTAATTTAACTGATTTCATCTGTGAGGGTCTGTGACAGTTTCCTGTACCATACTGGAAAACACAGGTTGATCTGACAGTGTCACAGCTGGGGGGATGATTTCCTAGTTATCTGCAGGGTGATTTCCAAGGAATCCCCTGTAAGTGTGACACGTTTGCTGTTCTAGCTCAAAATCAGAGAGGCATCCATGAACCCAACCCCAAATGCTTGGCTTCACTTGACTACTTCCGTAGCCCTTTCTGAGGCCAGCTGGGTTTTCAGATGTCTGTGTCAGCCCTCAGGCGGGTCCTAAGCTGCTTCCTGTGTCCATGACAGGCAGGAAGATTGCATTGCATGCACTCCCGTGGTGGCAGAGACACACAGTGAGACTTCAGTTGCGCAGAGACTTGTAGAAAGGATATGGGAAGAAAACTGCAGAGGTTTGGGGGTGGGGCTGGGAGCGTGGATGCAGCAGCCCATATTGCAGAGCTGGGAACAGGACAGCCATGGGTGATGCCTGCTCAGATGCCCAGTTTTCATCTTCTGTTGAATCAGAGGCAGGGCTGTGGGTTGAGTGTTTTGGACCTGCCAGAGGAATGAACTTCTGGGCACTTGATGTTCGGGTGACTTAGGCAGCATTGAAAATGTTACCCTTACAGTGTCAGTCATTGCTCCCAGAAAAGTCAGAAGTGTCAAAATCACAAATCTATATAGGAAAACAAGTCATTTTGTCGTGGCTCCTGCTTTTCATGCTTTACTGCTTTCCCCCCTCCGCCTTTTTTTTTTTTTTTTTTACGCTGGCTTGTGGGTTTGATGCCAAATTAATCAAAAATTGAACTATGTGTCACTTTTAATGCTTCTATCATTATTGTGTAAGTCCAAATTAGGAGCGATAATATGTTACATACTAATATTAGTGTACCTTTTTTAAAAATGTCTGGTAATTTTGTTACTGGTATTCAATAGCAAGACTGTGATTCTCTGTGCTTTTTTTGGCTGGCTTTGTTAATTTTTTCCTGGATGTTGCAGGGTCGGGCTCTGCTCCATTGGGCATGTGACAGGGGACACAAGGAGCTGGTTTCAGTCCTGTTACAACACACTGCTGATGTTAACAGCCAGGTAAGAAAGGAATAAGAAGTTTAATTTGATCAATGTGTTATGTAGCCACCTGACCAAATGTTTCACATGAAATGGAATTCTCCCAAAACTCCTTAGCAAGTTCTCTCAGGGTACTTATCACAGAGAAGAACATCCAAAAAGGTAACCTTGGAAAAATAGCGGAATTTGGTTGCACAAAGCCCATGGTAATAAGGGGCCTTTTTCCATTCCTGATGGAACTTCTCCCTGCAGTAAAATTGTTTGATCACCTTGTCTGTGGCTTCCAATGTGACTCCTGGTACTGATGGCAAGAGGGATTTTATGTGCATGAGGCGTTTGATAGCTTCCTACAGAAAGTGCATTTTCCAGTGTATTTTTTGTAACATTACACTCTCAGCAGAACTTAGTAAACTAATGGAAAGAGAATACCACTTTGCCTAGCAGACAAGCATGTGCCTGGTTTTGGCAGAGCATGCCACAGGAGGAGGTGATGATTCATGTCACAATGTGGTGGGCATATGACAGCTACGGTAGGATCTCAGTACTGACTGAGGGCAAAGACAAGCAGCTTATACCATTTCCATGCTCACATACCTACCTCACCCCCTTGGGGGTCACTGTTTCTAGCACAATTTGACTTAACATAAAGCAGCTTTTTAGCCACTACGCTTCGCAGCCCATGTGTCTGAGTTTAACTAGAAGCAGTTTTATGGTACCTTAATAGACCAGGCTGTGAACTGCATTGTGCTTTGCAAGTGGTTCATTCCAGCCAGCCAGCTTGAGTCTGCCTATGCTCATGAGTCAATGTTCCTAGTTTTGTCAGCTTGTTGTAATTAAGAGTTGACCTGTGTAAATGAGATTGTGTTTGGAAATAATTGTCCAACATATTTCTGTCGAATTATGATTGACTGCTTTTTACCAGTGTGGCACTTACTGGCTTTGCTTTCCTGCCCAGTTTGGACATAGATACACCTCTGCTGCTCTTACCAGTGGTATCTTAACCAGCCTTGTGATAAATGCTTCAGGAATTTGTAAGAGGTGAATCTTAAGCACAGTTGCAATCTGAAGGCTTGTCAGCAGACCTGTAGTGTTCACACGCTAGAAATAGCTATGCTGGTATTTATAGAATCATAGAATAGTTAGGG